CCCACCCAGCTTGGTGTCATCTGCAAAATTATAGGCACCTTCTTTTCCTGGCAGGTGCTCAGAAGAGGATTCCAAATAAAACTCTTAAGAGATGAGGCATGTTTTTCTATTGTTGAATTATGCAGTCAGTTCACAGAAAGTAAGTTGGAGAATGAAGGTGCTTACAGTACTTACAGCAGCATATGGCCTGGAGAGAGAAAAAGGTGACATACTGGTATGACTTGCTTGTACTTGCCAAGATCACATGCTGCATTATCACAGCCTAAAATAAGTCTCAAAGGGGAAAAATAAGTGAAGTTTCAACTCATTGGAGAGGGAATAGAAGATAACCATCAGGATATAAATAATTAACAGTATATTTTGATCCAACTCCTAAAGCCTGCTGCTAATAAACAGATTTGCTAATAAACAAAAATATGTTAGAGACTTATGAGAAAGGAATAATGGAAGGTGATCGTAAAGTCTTCAGCTGCTATCTCTGTCATTCTCACTTTGATTTAGATCAGCTTTCTAAATCAGAGTATTAATCGCCAAAAATACTTATAAGGGAAGCATCAAGAATTTATAATAAAAATGAAAATCACAGTTAGTACTGGTGAAGTATAATGTATCACACTGTACTTAAAAATGCCTGCAAATACTTGTTCAAACTGAGAAGGGAGCATTAATGTTTGACATAGTTATATCTATTTCACAAAACAAACAGATTTTGAACTGTTTTTTTTAACTGTTATTATAAATTTCTTCTTTTAAAGAAGATAAAGGATGTAACACCATGGTTACATGGACACAGTGAAATTACGATCCCATGAAACAATACCTAACTGGGTAACAGTGTAGGATTGATGTAGCTGAACACAAGTTTCCAGCACTAGAGAGATTCTGTGCAAGTGACCCTGCTAGTTGAATAATTAGGCTATGAATGGAAAAAAAGAAATTAAGTCAAGCAGACCATGTTGATCCACTGACAGCATGTAAAATAGAAGACAAAAGTAGTGAGTCAAACAGAAATATGAAAGCTTTATTTGTAACAGAGTAATAAATGAAAACCTATCTTAAATGCCTTCTCTAGTGACTGTCCCTGCCTTCCCATACTTGAAATCCTCGATCTCCATGATAGTGGAATAAACACATTTCTTCCAACTTACAGGTGACATCCCCAACTAAGAGGCTACAGAAGATTTTGACCAAAGAGAATATATATTTGGTGGCCCTACGTTAATTACTAAAGATTTAGCATGGGTGACTAAATATGCTCTCTCTGACAGCACATCCTATTTCTAAAGGCCAAGGCATACAGAACTAGGAGGGGTGACCTTCTGAAACAGGATAGAATTGAAGTCTTTTCTTCCATATTTATTTTGTAAACAACTGGCCCAATAACATGGTACAAGACCTATCGTATTGCTTTGCTTTATATATAATCCAGTCCATGATATGCTAACTACAATGCTTAGATGAAAGCATGTCTCATGTGAAAATCCCCACCTTATATTCTGTGGGAAACAGCCATTCTTGTTTCCAGAGCCTGAAGCACTTTTAGGTATAGCCTGGAATAGATCTATAGAACTTAAACGTCTGAATACATAAGTAGATCTAGACTAAGATTTGAGAGTTGAGTTTAAGGTAGCAGCCAGGAACATGGGTCCCTTATATTAATGTAGTTTTTAAACAGAAAAGCACCACTTCCTTTTGGCATTTAAGCCAATTTATAATTTCAAATGATGATTAGAAACCAGGCCGTTATCTTTCGGTGCAGAAAAGAAGTGTTTCACACCAAAATTAACATTTACAGAGCTAAAAAACAGATGAAACAAACAATAGATTTTGCACTTATCTAAGAAGGTTAGGCAACACAAAATTGGTAAGGAAAAAGAAATCCTGGTGGGCTTTTTTTTTTTTGTTTGGGGTTAGGTGTTCTTTGGAGTTTTGTTTGTTTGTTTTTAACATTATCTGCTCTTCTTGTTGTAATAGCCTAGTTGTTATGGCAACCATTCATATTCCAGTAGACTTCCACAAAAGGGTTATTCTAGACAAACAATTCACATTTTCTTCAACAACAGCTGAAGAAAAATCATAGCATTGTCCAAGAAAAGTACTAAGGTTCTTCCCGGTCAAATAATAGCACACTCACTTACCTACCTTCTACAGCCTCTCAATCCACATCTTTCTTCAATCCCTTCACTCATGTTGGGGAATAAATAGTCTGTGGCTAATTACTCTTGATAGGACAGCAGGAA